GCTAATGGGGATCCGAATAAACGAACAAATAAATAAGTAGACTGATTAGGCATGAGCCATGCAAATACTGAGGAGCAGTGTCCTCACACGCTACAATCAGAACTCAATCAAAAATTCAAAAATCAAAAAATAAACTTATAATGCTGTACAAGTCCCTAAACTGCACTCTGCAGGTGCTGGAAAAATAGTTGATGTTATGTGATGATGATGACATAAGCAACATCATTCTTGGTCTAGGAAACAATATTTGTCTAAACAATCTCTTAGTAAGGTCTATTTAATAACGGTTTTAGAGCTGTTTGTATGAAACATGAGTTGTTGCATAAGCTTTGCCAATTAATGTTAAATTCTGCTTTGTTTCAGCCAGCTGTCCATTTGTCCGTTGGAAGAGACAGTGTATTGTGTCTGTAAGAGTTTATATATTTGCACTGAGACTGTTTTTGGCTTTAATTAGGTCAGTTTTTTGTAGTGGAGGAGTGTGACTATCAAACATGCCAGTATCTATTGTATTTTTTATGCTTTTTTTTTCAGGTTTAGGTTTTCAGGTTGTTATTGATTTTTTGAAGAAAGTAGAACATCATAAACAAGCCATCACAGTATTTGGCCTTGACCGGCTACACTGGAGTATAGCATGGCGTAGTGTTGTAGTACTCGAGACCGGTCTTAAGACCACTTTTTGATGGTCTTGGTCTTGTCTCGGACTCCACTGCATTTGTACTCAGTCTTGTCTCGGTCTCGGACATTGAGGACTCGGGATTTTATTTCAATACCAGTCAAGACCATAACTTTGGGAATATAAATAAATTACATTGTCTGATTTATTTGTTAACATCCTAACTTTGATTTGATGTAAAGTGTATTGTTTCAAATCTTAGTGTTTGTATGTGGATCTTTCAGATCAATCTGAGAAGTACCTATGATCTCGTTCCACATTTTAATGTGTGTCATTTAATGTGGGGAACTGGTCTTGATCTTGACTCTGTCTCGCCCTCCCCCGGTCGTGGTCTCTTTTAAAAACATACAAAAAATAAAGGGAACACTAAAATAACACATCCTAGATCTGAATGAATGAAATAATCTCATTAAATATTCCTTTCTTTACATAGTTGAATGTGCTGACAACAAAATCACACAAAAATTATCAATGGAAATCCAATTTATCAACCCATGGAGGTCTGGATATGGAGTCACACTCAAAATCAAAGTGGAAAACCACACTACAGGCTAATCCAACTTTGATGTAATGTCCTTAAAACAAGTCAAAATGAGGCTCAGTAGTGTGTGTGGCCTCCACATGCCTGTATGACCTCCCTACAACGCCTGGGCTTTCTCCTGATGAGGTGGCGGATGGTCTCCTGAGGGATCTCCTCCCAGACCTGGACTAAAGCATCCGCCGACTCCTGGACAGTCTGTGGTGCAACGTGGCGTTGGTGGATGGAGCGAGACATGATGTCCCAGATGTGCTCAATTGGATTTAGGTCTGGGGAACGGGCGGGCCGGTCCATAGCATCAATGCCTTCCTCTTGCAGGAACTGCTGACACATTCCAGTCACATGAGGTCTGGCATTGTCTTGCATTAGGAGGAACCCAGGGCCAACCGCACCAGCATATGGTCTCACAAGGGATCTGAGGATCTCATCTCGGTACCTAATGGCAGTCAGGCTACCTCTGGCGAGCACATGGAGGGCTGTGCCGCCCCCCAAAGAAATGCCACCCCACACCATTACTGACCCACCGCCAAACCGGTCATGCTGGAGGATGTTGCAGGCAGCAGAACGTTCTCCACGGCGTCTCCAGACTCTGTCACGTCTGTCACATGTGCTCAGTGTAAACCTGCTTTCATCTGTGAAGAGCACAGGGCGCCAGTGGCGAATTTGCCAATCTTGGTGTTCTCTGGCAAATGCCAAACGTCCCCCACCTGTGGACGTCGGGCCCTCATACCACCCTCATGGAGTCTGTTTCTGACCGTTTGAGCAGACACATGCACACTTGTGGCCTTCTTGAGGTTATTCTGCAGGGCTCTGGCAGTGCTCCTCCTGCTCCTCCTTGCACAAAGGTGGAGGTAGCGGTCCTGCTGCTGGGTTGTTGCCCTCCTACGGCCTCCTGCACGTCTCCTGATGTACTGGCCTGTCTCCTGGTAGCGCCTCCATGCTCTGGACACTATGCTGACAGACACAGCAAACCTTCTTGCCACAGCTCGCATTGATGTGCCATCCTGGATGAGCTGCACTACCTGAGCCACATGTGTGGGTTGTAGACTCCGTCTCATGCTACCACTAGAGTGAAAGCACAGCCAGCATTCAAAAGTGACCAAAACATCAGCCAGGAAGCATAGGAGCTGAGAAGTGGTCTGTGGTCACCACCTGCAGAACCACTCCTTTATTGGGTGTGTCTTTCTAATTGCCTATAATTTCCACCTGTTGTCTATTCCATTTGCACAACAGCATGTGAAATTGATTGTCAATCAGTGTTGCTTCCTAAGTGGACAGTTTGATTTCACAGTAGTGTGATTGACTTGGAGTTACATTGTGTTGTATGAGTGTTCCCTTTATTTTTTTGATTGTATTTGGGTTGTGGTTAGATTTGACGGTGGAGAGTGATGATCAGGAGAGTAGAGCTCTGAATAGAAATATTTAAAAAATGTATTGTGATGCTGTATAATGTTAACAGAGGAAACTGCTCGATGTGATCATCATCTTTCAGTTAGTTTGCTATTTTATTGCCAGTTTTGTTTGAGTTCAAAATGTGGCTGATGGAGTTTCGAAAGGTAGTGTTCTGTTTTGTTGTTGGTGGTGGTGTTAATGGGATAGTAAGAGATTCTAAATACAGATTTGAACTCAACCACCAAGCAAACACACCCCTCCCTTTATTGCTCTCTCAGAAGCTCCGCCCCCAAATTCACAACCAAGCAGGTCTCCTGGGTGAAGCGAATAGGGAACTAACAAAAACTGCAATTAACGAGTGGCCACTTGAGGCTGGCTCTAAAAGGGATTCAATCTCCATTGACCCCTATCTTAAAATGCCCAGCTTTACAACAGAATAAAATATATTTACAGCCTGCGATGGTTTTGATGTATATAGCTCATTTTTACCTTCATGACAACTGTGAGGGGGTAATTAAGTGTTGCATTATTAGGCCGTGTCCGCTTTGAGTGACAGCTGGCGCTGTAACTGCTAGCACTCTGCCTGCCATCTGTTAGCTCAACTAATACAGTCACAGAGCTCTGCAGCTCTGCCTGTTTGAGCCTTTTGGAGACTTCTTTAATGCAAATACCGGACGAATAATGGCAGGCTGTGCTGTTGTGCTGTAACACTCCACACATGATAGATTTATTTATCAGTAAAGAACAAGGCACCACAACAAGGGGGAAATGTAGTGATCTCCATAGGTTTAACTGAAACACATCACTTACCAGCAATGTCAGCTTCTTGTGTAATGTAATGTAGAGGGGGCTGATGGGCCTGCAGTGAAATAAAGAAATTACAGTTTTTGTTGGTTGCTTAAACACTATAACCAGGCTTTTAATCTAAAATTATAAAACCACATCTCCATTTTTCAAAAAGAACACCCTTTTTCCTTTGGTCATTTAGAAAGCACTGACATTCAATATTGTTCACTCAAGTCAGCTAAGGTTAAATGGTCAATTAGCACACAGCTACCCAGGTGGAGACACAAAGAGTCATAATTGATAACACACCAATCAGAACCTCCAATAGAAAGATAAAAGGGCCAGAACCGGTTCATCCGATTTTGGAACAATGGATCCAGAGAAATCTGAAGTAAGACATAGAGGACACCAGAGAGGAGGAAGAGGAGGGAGAAGACGAAGAGGAGGAGCAGTATGGAGAGGAAGGAAGAGGAACAGTAGGAGTTGGAGGAGGAGAATCTCTCGTCCATCTTGTCGCAGACCAAAGACAGGATGCTTGTGCAGAATAATTTGTTGTTCGGTGTGTTGTACTGTACAGTACATTAAGGGCTAAAAAATGTGCAAATGTACAAATTATTATGTCTGAAGGCAAAGGTGGTTGAGTTGAGACGTTCATTTTGACCTGAAAATAGGAAGTTAGGAGAATTTGGTGAGAAGTTGTGGAATGAGCTATCTGATGTTAGCTAGCTGAGAGCCTTTCATTTCATTATAACTATGTTCTTTCATATTTTATGTTATTGTCAGCTAACACTGGTGCATAGGCATGAGCAGTGAAATTGGGGATTCAATATAGAGTTTATTATTTCATTTGAAGTCTTTTGTGAATCCTTTCACAATAAACATGGCATTTGTTTTAACTCTGGAATTCCCCAAAATTCCCAACTTCCCAACAACAGTGTATGACTACTGCTTTATTGGACGCAGATTACATCATTCACAGTCAACATGAGCAATAAGAAAGGAGACATTTGCTAAGAGTATTTGAAACTTGACACTTGATGAGAATGATTAAAATTAGGAATTAGAGATGATAATGCAGACTGTATTTTATGATAGTGTCTTTAGTTCTGTATCAACACTGTGTGGGTTTGTTTTGAGTGGTCATGATGGTCTGCTGTTGTGTGTCTGACTTGCTGGCAGTTTTGCTCTAGAATACTTACATTCATGTGGTACGTATATTAGAAATCTACATAGTTGATTTCTCGCCTCAAAACTTCTCAGAAGTGGATGTAGTGATGAAATAGCATACATTGTAAAATAGAAAACACTGGCCCCGAACTGGTGCGCTTAATGATGATGCAGTGAATATTAACGATTCTCTCTGACTAATCAGTAGTCTGCAGTGTTTTTTATGTCACCTTATGGTGTCGACTCAGCTTGACTCAGCTCACTTAAAAAACCTTGGCGTTATCAGGTACAAATTTTCCCCACTGGAAAACCATAAAAAAGCAAGTAGTAGAGTCGAGCTGGTACCATGCGGTGGAAGGGCCATAGGTACTCAAGTAAAAATAACTCAACATTGACTTGTTGTCTCGTCTCCTGGGTGAAAGTCCTGTGTTTGTCCCATTGGAGGACCTGGGACCGCACAGCGTCGGGGACGAAAAGACATCCCTGAGGACCAGTACCAGGGTTGGGTTGGTGCCGTTGAGCCTCCTTCACCAGAGACTCTATTTCCCAGGTAACCGCTGTCACCACACAGGAAGGAGGCAGAATGGTCTCAGGTTCTGAAGGAGACTCCTCGCTGGTGAATTTAAGACAAAGTGTTGGGCTTTGTGTTCTTAGAGCCGGGCCTGTAGGTGAGGGTAAACTGGAACCAATCAAAAAACAGGGCCCAGCGAGCCTGCCTGGAATTGAGCCTCTTGGCGGACTGGATATAGGGCAGGTTCTAGTGATCGGTCAAAATGATAAACGGCTGTTTGGACCCCTCCAGGTAATGTCTCCACTCTTCCAGGGCCAATTTCACTGCAAGGAGTTCTCTGTTGCCCACGTCATAGTTACGTTCCGCAGGGATTAGACGGCGAGAGAAGAAAGTGCAAGGATGGAGCTTTTGATCTGTATTGGAGCGCTGGGAGAGGACTGCACCCACCCCCGTGTCCGAGGCATCCACTTCGACGACGAACTGGCGGGAGGAGTCGGGCTGCACTAATATGGGCGCTGTGGTGAACTGCCACTTAAGTGGAGTAAATGCCAGGTCAGCTTCAGGGGTCCAGTTGAAGGGGGTGGACGTGGAAGTAAGGTGAGAGAGAGGAGCTGCCACACCGCTGAAGTTCCTGATAAAGCGACGATAGAAGTTGGCAAACCCCAGGAACTGTTGTACCTGTTTCCTGTTGACCGGGGAGATGGATAAATGTTGGGGGTTCCTGTTCATCAATCTTCGCCGGATCCACCTTCACCTTCCCACCATGGATGACATATCCCAGGAAACTCAATGTGCTGGCGTGAAACTCACACTTTTCTGCTTTCACATAGACCTTGTTCTCCGGGAGTCTCTGTAGCACCTGTCATTGGAATAGATCAGAATGTCGTCCAAGTACACAAATACAAAACTGTTAATAAAATCACGGAGGACGTCATTAACTAGGGCTTGGAAAACTGCTGGAACATTTTTGAGTCCAAAGGCATTACCCGGTATTCGAAATGGCCCAAAGGTGTGTTGAAGGCTGTCTTCCACTCCTCTCCTGACCTAATCCGCACCAGATGGTAGGCGTTCCGGAGGTCCAGTATGTTGAAGACCGTAGCGCCCTGGAGAAGCTGAAAAGCAGAGGAGATGAGAGGTAAGGGGTACTTCCTGACAGTGATTGCGTTGAGGCCCCGGTAGTCAATGCAAGGGAGAAGACTTTTATCCTTCTTTGCCACAGAGAAGAAACCAGCTCCCAAAGGGGAAGGAGAATGAGACCTGAGGCTAATGAGCTCTTATTGTAAGCTTCCATGGACTCCATCTCAGGCTTGGACAGACTTTACAGGTGGCTAGAGGAGAGTGTAGCACCCGGAAGGAGTTCGAGCACAGTCATATGGACGATGGGGTGGTAATGACCAAATCTTTACTAAAGACTGCGCTAAGGTTGTGATATTCTGGAGGAACTGAAGAAATAAATCAGTTGGTCAGGGATCGGTTGGGGAACAGCGCCCTTCGCCGGTGGCAGAGCCGACTGCAGACAGACAGAATGACAGTGAATACTCCAGCCAATTATTCTGCCCGCAGACCAGTCTAGGTGGGGATTGTGTAGCTTAAGCCAGGTGTAACCTAGTACTAAGGGGGAATCTGGAGTGGAGATGATGTTAAGCCGAACTTGCTCATTGATATTGCCTGACAGGATTAAGTTGACCAGGACTGTATGATGAGTGACTCGAGCCAGCAGCCGACCGTCTAAGGCGTTAGCCGTAAGGGGGTTACTCAGAGGCTCTAAAGAAATGCCCACTCTTAAAGCGAATTCTCTGTCAAGGAAACAGTCGTCAGCCCCAGAATCTATTAGTAAGAGGAAAATTATGTTGTTGCTGGAATCTGCATACGAATGGGAGATGGGGAAATAACTGTGCTGTGATCCACCAATACCCCCACTCTTACTGGCGAGTCTGCTATTTTGGCCGAACAGGACAGAGGGCGATGCGGTGCCCAGGTCTGCCACAGTACAGGCACTCTCCAGCTCTCATCCAACGGTCGCGTTCAAAAGGAATCACTGCATGGGTCCGTCGACTGCAGCTCTGGGAGGTGATGGAGGCCTTAGCTCGGGAGACGTGGAAGCAGTGGGTCGGGGAAAAAAAGTTGGCTGGTGATCCAGCACATACGAAATGGAACTCAGAGCGGGGGTGTCAAGAGCAGATATGCTGTTGGTGCTGATGAAATATCAAATTCATTACACCAGAAGGACTGACTGGACAGGGCCTTGTGGACAGAGGTGTTATCGGCATCAGAGTCAGCTGGGTCCATGTTGCCCAGATCGTACTGTTATGTGTGTGTACAAGAGAGCTGGACCCAAAAGCACGACAGAGCTGGATAACAGTTCACTAGTCAAAAGGGGGTGAGGGAGCGATCCAGGTCCAGATAGGGAAAACCAAGCGAGGTGGTTGAGCTGAAGCTGTGAGGGTGAAGCAGGTGAGCAGGCAGGCGACTGGCAGGCAGGTTAGAGTGGTTCTGTGAGAGCGAGGGAGAACAAACAAAGCGGGACGGAAGACACGCAGACGATCTGGTGAATGCTGGTGTGCTGGACTTGGGGTTATACCCGGGTCACTCACACACCGTACCTGTGATTGAAGTGAAATATTTATTTACTAACTAAGGTGAAGACAAGTGAAAAGTAAATAACGATATATGTATACCGTAAAACTCTGAATAATAGCCTGGGCTTTTATTTGCTAAAATCACTGAATTGACCCTGCCTTTATTTGGGACAGGTGTCCATATGGGACAGGCCTTTAATTCTTTTTGCACAAAACTGAAACTACTGTCAAACAGTTTATTTATTTCAAACAGAATAATATCAAATACACATCATTTATTTGATCTAGCTCTGACAGACGGTTATGCGCTTTTATTTTGAAGGCAGCAAACTATCGAAAACAACAACACGGTGCAGGATGAGAGAAGTTAGCAGACAGAGAGTGATGGACTTCACATGACAGGATTCACAACTTGGATTAATTTTTATGAAAAGCTCTTTTGATTCTTTTGATTGGTGGACCCTTACAGATTAAAGGAATATAAATAATCAAGGAACGGGCACATTGTATTTAACGAGCGGATTTAACAAGCGCTTCAAAGTTAACGTGAGTCAGCACTATAATTATAATATATATATATACAGTATAATTTTCAAATCATAAGGGAACGAATGGATGCAGGTTGCATTACTGTACATTATTTTTTTCTATGGTAAAATGATGGTATGGAAAATTAAATTAAGTTAAAATGTTTCTCTCTCCTATAGTGCCTTTGTTGCCACTGGTCTCCTCAGTAGCACGTGGGGGTCTGCTGCTGCTCCTGCTGGTCTTGGTGGTTTGTTTGGTTGTCAGGAGAAGACGACGAGCCAAGCAGCCAGAAACCCTCGTCCAAACTCAATGTGTGTGCTCACCAGGAAAAATAGTACATGACATAAAAAAAGACTGGTTCTGTTTTGTTTTTCATTTCTCAGAATACACTTCCACCCAATGTTTGTGCTTGAATGCTTGTAAAGATTTGATTCTGACATTCATGAAACATTTTGTCCTGATGCTTGTGTTTCAGTGTCTGTCAGAGGCAGCAACCATTGTGAAGATGATGAGAAGGAGGAGGACTATGTGAATGTTGATTCAGTATGCACCAAGGGGAAACTCAAAGAGGAAGCAGGGAGAGGGGAAGAAGAGGAGAGTGATGAAGATCATGATTATGAGGATGCTGGCACCAATGCAAATTCTATAAAGGCCACAGTGATCTGTTTCAGTGTAAACGACAACAGAGAAGAAGAACAAGCAGAAGAAAAAGAAGAAGAAAGCAGTGATGATGAAGATCATAATTATGAGGAAGTTGGCCCCGATGCAAATTCTATAAAGGCCACAGTGGTCTGTTTCAGTGTAGGACAACAGAGAAGAACAAGCAAAAAAAGAAGGAAGCAGTGATGATGAACTATGTAAATGTAACCCAGCCATTTGTTGAAGAAAATGTGGACATTTATGGAGAAAATGAAGATTTAGATATATATTAACTACCATCCACTGCTGTAGATCAAATTTGTTTAAAATATTTTAATAAATCAGACGAGTCAAAAACAACTATACACTTGGTTTTTTATAAGCCAATCTGTAGCTTCCTATACCAAGTTATTGTAGGCGTGGCCTGTTAGACATAAACTCTGTGCAAAACATGTGCATATCATCTTTCTTTGTCGTCCAGGTGCTGAGACCAAAAACTGATTCTGTCCTCCGAGGGCTCGCAGCCCAGTTCTGGACTTGGATTTTGCCAGTTTCTACTACCTGAGAGTTTTGTTCATGCATGCTGTTTTGGATTAAAATCCCCTGAACTGTATGTCTGCTCTCCAGTGTCGTGCATTTGGGTTCTCTCCTGCTTTGCGTTCACCTCAAACCGTGACATAAATCCATGACATGAGTTGCTCTTCAGGATCCTACTCTGGAATTCATCCAGAGAATTTGAGCAGGAAGTCTGCATTTTGCATTAAATAATATAAATTTAATAGGGTTGTTTTGTTTCAAATCAATACGACAATGGAATTATAAAAAACATAATGATGTTTGAGGTGGTAATGCAACTTTGTGACCTTCAAATAGGCCTACATGTAATTAATTCGCATTTACATTATACTATATAAAAGTTTATATTCTCTTAAGCCTATATCATTTTATATAGGGATCAACTACCAAGCGAATGATCAAATGGAAGTTAATGCCTTTTACCTTAACATGCCTTGTTATTTTGCAGGCAATGCAAAGGCAGAGTACATTCATTTTCAAATTAGGGTCAAAGGTCATGTTTGAGATCAAGATTTTTATGTAGAAAAATCACTTTATATATTATAAAACAATGATATGCCGCATTTCCAATATTCTACCTACAATTCATTTGACTGTACAACAAAACAACGTTAAAGTTTTCTCAGTTCTACACTCATTCTACGTTCTATTTTGCCTTTGTAGGGCAGGACAAATAATCAATGTATGATGTAATATGACTAGCTGGTGAGCATAATGGTGCATTTAGCTAAAGAACCAGATGGATAAATGCTAATATTGCTCCATATGAGCTGGATATGTAAACAGGCTCTTCACTAACACATTTGCCATATCATCTTTATATCTCACACGTTGAAACAAAACATGTGAGATATAAAGTTGATATGGCATCAACTTGTTCTGCAGCCAACAAATCCATTAATAGAGTTTTAATCACATGAAGAGGTCCTAAACTGTGCACTGTTGTCCTGGAACCCTCCTGTCTAACACTTATGATGAAAAATCCATCCAACTCATGCTTTTCAACACACACCCCTCATGCATACACTGTGGGTGCATAATTAAATATTTAGATGCTAGGATCCACTTTTCTGACAAAAAAAAGCAACATACGACAAACTGTGTCCTTTTATTTCTCTCACTTTTGCTGTCTTGTTCTTAGTTCTTTTGGGCCAGAAATGAAAGGGCCAAACACATTTTCAAATGCATTAAATTGTTGAAAAGGGGCATTTTGAAGAAGTGATACTCCTCATGACCCAGTCTTTAAAGAGGGGAGGTTTGTGTTAATGAGTTCGTATTATTTGAACAGGAACCAGTCAATCATCTATTTTCCATTTACTGGTTGGGCTGTGAACTGCTAATCTTCTTTCTTGTATGTAGCAGAAAGAAGGTTAGCTCAAGGTTAGCACAATGTTCTCATTGTGGTATAGACAATGAGATGCGTCTCAATGTCTATACCACAATGAGAACATTGTGCTAACCTTGAGGCTGGATGCTTCTTGGTGTCTATTGCGTTAAACAGGGTGTGGAAATTCACACATAGATGTCTTTTGGTGAGTAAAACATGTGCTGGCTGACAAACTGCTGTTACTGCTGTGTGGGCTGTACTACCAACACCCCTCATTATGTTGATGTTGGTAATGTGTATTATTTATTCACTATGTAAAGTAAAATGTATCTTAGTCTTATTTGCAAGCTGTTTTCAGTTAAATAAAAAAACAAACCCAAAGTGTTTGATATCATTGGATGCAACATTTCACAGCATATCAGACTCAGAAACAGTTTTTTTGCCAAGTACTTTTTACACATACAGGAATTTGATTTGGTGACAAGGTGTTTCTTATAAATATTTGTACCACTAGCAAACAAAACAGATTTCAATTGAATCAGGAAAACAGTACTTTATATAATTAAAAAGACGGATAATTTCAGATTATGTATCATATTTGCTACATGAGTTTCTGAGACCCCTGCATCACCAACATGATCAGTACTTTCATGAAAACCTGTAGTATGTGTTACAAGGGCAATGTTGTCATTTCTGCTGCAGCTGAGTAAGTTCAACCTGACAGCAAGAATGATGGTGCAAAAACGCCGTCACTGAGTGTCGGGTCGGAAATAAGGACCGGCCGGGCCAGTAAAAGACCTGGTCCCTACCCTAACCAACGTAATAAACTCAATAAAATTACTCTATTAGATTTCTTCTTTAGTCAAAAGACGGCGTAGTCAAAAACTTCACTGGAGACGGTCAAGAGTCGGTGCAAAAGAGTTTATTCCAATAAAGGACAGATAAACCCGAGCAACATCCCTGCAGGTCTCAGGATGGAACCGAGTTGGTGGTCAGCGAACATCGCCTTATATTCACCTTAAGCTCCACCTTGTCCCTCCCTTCAGGTGGGCGTTACATCTTAACTCCTCCTTATCTCCTCCTTCTAGGTGGGCGTTACTCCTTAACTCCTCCTATGGTGTTCGCTGACCATTCCTCCCCTTTGGTGGATTTCTTATCCTCTACTGCCATCTAGTGGCCTTTTTCTTGTACTGTTTTACCAAATTAACCCTTTCATTAATGTTACAATTTCCACTTTTTAGCTGTTATTATATGTAATTATTGTTACCATTTATCTCTCTTTATATATTTTTTACATTACTGGATTAGAAATCCACCAATATGTTTCAACTTCAGCTCCACCGTATTTTTTTAAAAGTTATACAGGCATAGTTTGACACCATTAAAACTTAAACACTTACAATCGTATTTTTTAAAAGAATTAATAAGGAATAACATATTTCATACATGTATAACGTGATTCAATGAACAATTACATGATTTAGCAATGCCAACCATGAGGGTGCTTTGTCTCATACAAGTTAACTTTCAGCAGCGCAGAGCTTGGTTGCATGCAGTACCTAGCCGTACCAGGCGCCATAAATCACAACATGTCATGATCTCATTCTTGGCTTCAGTTCGCGATGATCTCAGCCCTGGCGTACGTGACTTACTGCATGTGCCTTGCTTCTAATGAGCGGGTTACGGTTGGCTAGGTTTTGCCTGCGCGGCCTGAGCAGCTCCTCTGCTCATTAAAAAAGCACACGTTCATGAATACACAGAGTATAGGAATAATGTATGATAAACACACAGAATATAAGAATAAAATATGAGTTTAAACTCACTCTTTTAACACTCAGTAGGTATACACTCAGTAGTAAGCACTCAGTAGTGAAACACTCAGTAGTCAGACTTCACACTTAAAAGAATACTCAGTAGTGAAACACTCAGTAGTTATAACATATTGCAAACCATTGATAATGTGTATAAATATAGAAAAAGAACCTAACAATCAATCTAGGATTTAGGCCTTATGCAATCAATCTAGGCTTTAGGCCTACATGATCTTTAGGCCTTATTCAACACTTCCCTCCTTTGCGGCTGTGAGGCCGCACATTCAATCACCTACACTGTAATGCACAGATAAATGGGACCTACTATCCCGTGATTACTGGTTCAACACGTAGATAGCACACTAATGAGCTGAATACGTGGATCCTCCAACTTGACTTGTGTTGTGCAGCATATTGGCAATATACTAAGTGAAGTAGTGCTTTTGAATCATGGGGTGTCACTGAAACTTAAGTTTCAAGGCCATGTTAAGTGTGAATTAGGTGACAATAAAAGTACCACCCATGATCTTTGGTTCAACACATATCTGCATCCGGATCCAAACAGCACTTGTATCTTAATACGAGAAATAAGGAAAATGTAAATCAAATATGTCCTTGTTCTGGTCAAGGGGAATCATTGACATTAGAGTGCCTACCGCCCGAGACTCAGCGGTTCAACATGTGTACAGGTGTGCACAAGGATCCAGGACCTTACATAAAAAATGTGTACTAGTTACTTTGGCGTGTGCTGTTTTTTGGCTATCATAAGGTTAAGCAAGCTCAAAACTTCTGTGCATGAAATGATTATGTGCGTGAGCTGTTTTTTTGCTATAATATGTTGTGCAAGCATAAATTTGACTGCATAGAACAAACAAATATATGTAAAAACTTCCAGTGATGAGACTAAAAATGTCCATCCCTAGAGGAACAGTTACTTCATTTGGACGATGTACATTGCTGTTTCCAGTTGCTCACAGCGTTTCTCCAGTTGCTCACAGCGTGTCTGCAGTTGTTCACAGCGGGTTTGTAGGGTGTTACAACATTCTCTCAAGAGTTGAAGGTCGTGTTGCTTGGCGGGTGCTCTGCGAAGTTGTCCCGTCTGCTGACGGAGTCTTGTTGCTATGCGGCCCAAAGCTCGGCGTCTGTCTTTCCTGCGGGCGGCGATTTGAGCAGGCTGCATCTCACTCAGGAGTTGGTTGAACTCCTGCAGAGGCATCTTACCCCAATAATCAGGATCCCCATCAGTGGTGGCTGGGGAAACGTTCCCTGGAGTGGAATCATCTGGTGCTTGTGGTGTTGGAGATGCAGAATCATTAGGTGTGTGTGGTGTTGTAGATGTAGAATCATCAGGTGCTTGTTGTGTTGTAGATGTGGAATCATCAGGTGTTTGTTGGGTTGTAGATGTGGCAAGGGAATAGGCCAGAATTCGTGCACTTCGTCTAAGGGGTCGTATCTCCTCCGGGAAGTTGTGTTGCTCATCGCGTGGTGCGTCGTCATCGCCTGGCTGTTGAGGAGAATGAACTGTGGGAGATTCCCATGGCAGTGGCATTGGAGCCTGTGGTCTTGGATCCGGCGTGGTTGGACTATATTGATGTATGGAGTCCGTAGAATATCCATCAGTGAGGCTCATATCTGAGGTGTGTGGGGAGGCTGAGCGTGGACGTGTGTCAGCAGAGGCGTGAGTCGTTGTTGCTCCGTGATCCCCATTGCAGCTTGTCCTGCTGCCAGGTCGGCTAGTGGTACCAATGGATTGTATGGATCCGCAACTTGACTTGGTGCATCTTCCCCCTCTCTGTCTCGGCATCTAAACTTCACGAAACGCTGTAGACTGGGTAGAGAACGTGGTATTGCATGCCAGTCAGGGGGTGGAGTTTCTTGTGCATCAAGGAGCTGAAGTGA